AGAAGGGGTGTGTAGCGAGGGAGGTACATTGTGGCGAGCGTGTATGTGTGGGGTGTATATAAAAAGACAGTCGAATTCCAAAACTGTATAGATCGAACACTTTTTGTATGAGCGTAGACAATAAAAGTCACAAATAAATGGAAAAATGTAAACCTATTGTAAATAAATTATAAACATTTTATTAAATAGCAGGTAGGTAAGGTAGGTGGTAGTTATAGTAAGGATATATTTTGACGATTTCGTTTCCGCAAAATATATGAAACTGCATTTGCCTCTCATTTAGTACATATGTGCTTATGAACCATATGAGCGACATGATTAACTATATATTTATGCTCATTGTTTAGTAAATATATACAATATTAAATAAATTATAAGTATGTTATTTTCAGATCAGGAAGGGTGAGATGTACTTCAAACTTTTAGATTAATTAATTTGAATAGGTACATGAATATTTTTTAGGTGTTTAAACTTTAAAAATTACTAAACTCTCAAAATTGCGTTTAATGTTCTGTTTTCAAAATATTGTGAAAATTAATAATTTAATATTTCCACGAAAGTAAAAAGTAAGAACAACAAAAAATAATATCAGTAAGAAAAATATATTGTCGATTCTCAAAGGTCAAAGTTAACACGACTATAGTCTATGTAAAAATTATTGAGAGTTGAATGACCTGCGAGATCACTAGGCATAAGCGTGCGTGTTGTTTTTTGAAATCAGTATGTGATAAATATATGGATATATACTTTTTGTTTTAATACATTTACTAAAATTCCAATAGTACTAATTCATAATTTCTCCTTTAATAATCACATAAATACATATTTTTTATATAAATTAAAACACTACCTATAACTGCGCTGCCACATGTTTGGATATTTCCCTCAATAGTCAAAATATCTGTATTGGTTTATTGCATTGCAAACAATAAATTAGTAAACCCGAATAAAAAAAAACTTAAAACTAAACTTTCCTTTTGTCAGAATCGGATAATTGCGTTTCATATGTAACAATAAATTAATAAACCTGAATAAAAAAAAATTAAAACTAAACTTTCCTTTTGTCAAAATCGAATAATTTCGTTTCATATGTACCTAAACAAATAATAAAACCGACACAGTTCTTAAATAAAAGGGATATCAGAACTAGAAATAACATTTTCTTAGCCAGAGACCGCCTTCCTTAGGTCATTCAACTCTCAACGATTTTTAAGTGGATTATAAATTTTTAACTTTTTATTCTGTAACATTTCTATAGTAAGGATCTAAATCATCCTAGGTATTTTAATTAATACATAAATATAAAAATTAAAATCCAGTATTTCTGTACATGGCCTTATTTTACTGTGAAATAATTGATGGGTTAATAGAATTTTAAAATTTGCTTAAAATACATGGCAGGATTGAATGACGGGAAATACAATACGCCAATACATTAAAAGATCTATACGAAATATCAGATTCGGATATGAATAAAACAAGTAATCCATAATTTTTTATTTAACTTTTCCTGAATATTTTTGTATTTTATACCTAAGATCCAATTTAAAGTTGAGGCGGCAAAAGATTCGGTTTAGTGAATAACTTTGGTTTTGTTTCATATTTTGTCGTGTCGATATGCACCCCAATGCTGTTGTTGACAAACTGTTATCTTTATCGCTGTGAGTTCGAATCCCGCTTGAGCATCCAGTGGTCGATGATGAGAGCGAGGCCTGTTATTGATCACCTGTGATTCTTTATTAGTCTTTCTGAGGACACTGACCTTTCGATTGTGTTTTTGTTTTTTTGCTATCATTAATTGTCTATATTATCATTATGTTTGTTTACGATTAATAATTACCTCGATAAAAATCACTTCCTAACTAATAGGGAAATGATGGAATTAGATATGACAACATCGTTCTGCTCAGAGACAACCTTTTCTTCACCTCTGCGTTTTCCGAATCAAAAAATAAAAACTAATCAAAATTTACAGTTTTTCGTTGACAACTTCTAAACGAAAAAAAATGCTTCTACGGATTGTAACTCATTAAATTCTGTAAATTTGATCAACTTCGTATCTCTTAAGATAACCTAGATCCCCACCGTGAGGCTCGAAGAACTAGCATCCGTTTAATTAATAAGTTTGGTTTTTAGAAAGTGACATTAACTTCGTCGATGGGTATGAATCAAACTGTAATTGGATTAAATCTAACAAGGGGCCAATTTCATTATGAAAACAGATACAGACGATCTTGGGTTAAATATTCCGTAAAACAACACAGCCTATATCCCAAGAAAAACATAAATTTGTTGTCCCGGGAATAAGAAATTCTTCAACATGTTATGTTTATATAAATTGTGATTGTGATTATTATTTATATTTGAAAGCAATTACAGTGCCTATATCTAAAATGTGCTTCAAATCTGATACTTTTATCAATTACTTTTAAAATGATAGAGATCAATGACGGCTGGTATAAATTAAAGTAATGTCATATTTTGATTAAAAAATGCGGTACCCTTACCATTCTTTAGGGCATGATTTCTAGAGCGAATTTCTAAGCGAATTTTCATGATAAAAAGTTTTCGGAAGAAATTGGCGAAATAAAAAATTAAATTAGGTGTTACAGCATTATGAAATTTGAAACATAGAATGTTAGTATCAAATAAAAATTGAAATAGACATAATTACACAGAAAATGTAATTTTCTCCAAAATGAAGAAAATAGTTGTTTGTATCTATCAGTTATTATGAAGAAAATATATTTTTTTTGCATAAATTATGTTCAATGATACTTCTTAAGTGTCATATATTTTTAAATTAATCCTTGTTGTTGTTAGATCAAAGGATTAAATTACAATACAGCTAGAGGGGGAGCAGGGGTATGCACGGCAATCAAATCAAAACGTGCTCAAATTTGATATTGGTTAGTCAATTGATTTATTGATTTTTTGTTTAGAAGCCCACATAAAGCTTGCAGGTGTGGGCATACCCCAAGCAAAAGTTGTAGCTACGCCCATGGATGTAAACAATCTTTCATGCTACAAATATGATTCAAGTCATGTAGTAATATAGTACAAAAAACTATAATAAATACAAAGATACATACGTCATTGATTTTAAATTATAAATTAATTTTTACCATTTCTCAAGGAACGTAAGAACCATTAAAAGTTTGACGAAAAACTATTTTCCCTTTTTGTTTCATTTTCATATGTAAGTAAATTAGGTACTTTTGTAGAAACCAAGAGAGATTTTTATTTGTAGTTAAGGAATGTATCTACATTTTATTTCTGAACAATTTTGTCCAAATGGTACCTATAGCGATTTTATTGATAAATACTGATGAACACTATACGGATGCGTGTCTTCTTCGAACAACGGCATTTCGTTGAATTCTAGTTTAAAAAAAATTGATTGCTCACGATAATCGGCATATGTGTGCCGCATGTGGGTATCAAATATCTTAAGCTTGTATAAGTGATTATTGCATTTACTTAGGTGCAAATCAAACTGTTTCCTTTTATCACATTTTTTGTATAAGTATCTACCTAATTCGCTAAATAAAATGTCCAATATTATCATTAAACCGATAGTGGAAAAATTAACGTTGATTAATTATTTCCAGTGATAGTTTTATTACAATCACCATAATCTCTTTATCAAATCTTTGTTAATTACTTTATCGTAGCCACGCTATACTTACGGTCGACATAATCAAGGCTCTATTAATAATTTGAGATCGCTAAGGTGCACAGGTAAACAAAGCAGACGCGAGATAGGTATTCCTGACAAATCGAATGAGGTGTTTTGTGCCCCATTCACACGAACATTTAAGGCTGGGCTGACAAAAAGCTACGACTTTTTCGCGAACATCAACATGGTTATTTACATCTGTTGAAATTCATTTGTTAAACAAAGAAAAGTGTATCGAAAACGTCTCTGCGGGCTGGAAGTTTCCAAGTGGATAGAACGGTGCCATATCTTAAAGATTCTTTTCCTTTTTCCATCACTATATTGGACCACTATAGTTACTAGTTTGCTTTTGCCCTCACGTGAGCTCAGCAAAGTGGTTTTACCGACCGTCGACGATCCGAGCGCAGCTGCCACGTTGCCTCCGTTTTCATTGGTAATCCTTAATGAATCTCGTTCGACTGATTTTGATTCTGCATGCTCTGAAATTTAATAACCTCATTGCATCTAAGATACACAACTTTAGAAATCTTGTATTGTAGGAGATATATGGCTTTTGAACTATAAGTGTCGTTTGTTTATATATATTTTTAAAATATCTGCCATAAGGGACATTAGTTACAAATTAATAATATGTACTTTCAAAATGTGTTGCTTAAATTTTTGTATATATCTGAGAGCACCTATTAATAATTTATAATGTATGTTAGTATTAATAAATAAGTTCGATTGATACTTTATCTACCTGCCTACTGAAGTCTCTTCTCGTACAGTTTTTCAATAATGATATATATTACCAAAACATAGGTATTTAGAAATTTAATACATGCAATCGCCTCAATTATTTAATTTTATTAAATATTTTGAGAAAAAATAAAACCACTTGTTTCATATTAGGTACATTCTTAAAATGCCCACCTATAAAAACTTAAAACATCATTATTCTAATTTTAATTGATCCACTATTTTTGTCTCCATTTATTTCATATTAAAATAAACAGGTAGTCCTTTTATTCCAATTTTACTTGATTGTAAAATGTAAACTTATCTGATCATTATAACTCGATGGAGATATAGCTAACAAGGTTTGCAACATCGAGTAGTGGATAAATTTTATTTACATTAGATATATTTTTTACATAAGTTAATTATTTTTAGTGGTCTCTGAAAATAACAGCTAGGTATTTTTTAATGTCTAGGTCAATGAACACCGAGTAAATTTGGCAACGTGCGGTCCGTCCGACGAGCAGGAACCCCCCCACTCTGCAATTCTGCGTTGTGCTTTTCCTTCCCGCGCCGCTCTCATTCGAGTTTGGGAAATCGAAGTAGTCGCGCTGTTTGTTGACTTGCTTAACCGCGCCTGTGTCATTTTTCCATTGTCGTAAATACCCCCCATTTTGCGTCAGAAATTATCGGAAAACTCTCCGTGTGCCCGATAAAACGTCCGCGCTACCCTGAAGGTGCAGTGCCAGTGCCAGTGACGACTCGATTTTGTAATTTGGTGTCCTCTCCCAGCCAGCCTACTTGATGCAAGTGGATTATTCTGTGTACGCGCCGCAATGTTGAGTTAAAAATGTTTACTTAGCGATAAACGCGCGATTGTGTTTGTGGGACTGCTATTTTAGTTTCTTTACGAATATATGCCACGTAGCAGTGTTAGTGGGTTATTTTTGGTATAATACCGCTCGTTTTTTGCTAGTTCTGCTGTAGTGAGGTTTATTTTGTGTTCGAGACCAAGTTGCGTCCGACGGTGTCGACAGTACCAGTTCTTTCATTTACAATAAGTAGGAATAGTACCTAAATCACAGTGAATTTAGTGGAGTGCAAGCAGTTTCTTAAACAATCAGTGTGCCATTTTAAGGATTACTTTTTATTTACTTGGATTATACAAGCTCTTTATCGATTGTTGCTTAAGGGTAAGTCTTTAGCAATTTTAATGTACCTAGCTTACTCTTGACTTAATTTTTTTTGTTTTCTCTGTATCGATATAGTTTTTTGTCTGAATCAATAGTTATTAGATTTATCACTGATAATCGCATCTTTTCAAGTGTTTTCTTTCATAGCAAGCGAAATTCTTTACTCAAAACGTGAGTTAGTTGAGGAAGTAGCTAAGATGGTTCGGCAATTCTTTTATTTGTAGAATAAATATCTCCATAAAACATACAAACTTGTTTCAATGTATTTTTTTAGATTACTTGGATGGATGCAATTCGGTTGGTCAAGTTGTTCAAGGATTGTTTTGTCCAAGATTAACAAAATTTTTTTACATAGGAACCTACCTACATGTAGGACTACAAGTATTTCATAAAATTGATGCTCTGTTTGGATTGTTGCAGTTTCGCTATGATTATTGGTTGTAGTTTGCTGTTTATCCGATTGTCGTTAGAGAATATAAGCGTGAAGTTTGTCTTGCTACACTCATAAAAAAGTACCTATGCAAAATTTCACATTAAATTATTGGTTAGTTGAGCCGCATTGGGTTAATGTAAAATTACATTATTTGTAGGTACCTACCTATAAGGAAATTTTACATTATTACATTATTGCTGAAATTAAGACAATTTTACAGTAATCTCTGTAACCAGGGACCTATTGTATAATTTTACATAAAATTTGTATCTGTGTACCAAATTTATTTATACCTACATCAATAATAATAATTGGATGAGATATTCAGGAAAGAGATTTCCAGGGATCAAATTGAACATGATCTAGATCGATAAACGTGAGTAGTTATTACAATTTGCTGGCTCACAGTGGTGACTGTTTAATATTAAATTTTGTCATTTTTTTTCACAATCAACATACCTACCTAGATAGGTAGAAACAGTTGTTTTTTGTCATCTTTTACAAACTTAAATTTTCTTTCGATACTAATTTTCTATCTTGCAATTGTCAGTGCTGTAACTTTACAAAAATAGAAAATTTTGTTGTTTTTGTTTTTTTGTATCAGTTGATTGCGGAAAAAATATTTTGCAAATATAATGCATAACCTTCTTCTAGATCCCATTCGCACATTTCTTTCGAAATCCCTTTATGGACCTAGAAATCAATCCCTAAAAAATGGTAAGCAAGTACCTAGTTCCCGCTCTTAATTATCAAAATAAGACTTTAATTTTCACCAGCCGCTGCTACTGGCTCATTTGCAGTTTTCTGGTGAAGTTCTTCTGAGAATTCTTACATTTGAAACAGTGTGTACGCATCATTTCGATTTAGTAATTAATTGGCACGTTTGTAGGTATGTAATCTTCAAAATGATAAAAAATGAACAACTTCAATTTAGTTCAGATTTCCGTTTGTAGATTTACTAGTAGATATACATTTTCGTTACCTAGCCTAGGTAGTTATTCGATGTTAATAAAATAAAATAAGCTTTATAAAAATTAGTGACAGCATAGTGATTCGAAAGCTTACCTGGGTACCTACTAATTAATCTGGTTTGTATTGATAAGATTATGAAGATCTCATCCCGGATTTTTTTTTAATGTTTATAATATAATATTTTGTAGAATATTTATGTATTATTAAATTTTAGTAATTTATAGGTAAGTAGCCGTAGGTAGGTACTTACTTAGTTAAGTATAGTTTGTGGAAAGTTAGTTGCAAATGGTTTAAACATGTTCGATATAATATCCCACATAGTAAGTTAATTAATATGTATTTTTTATTATCTGATGAAAACAATTAGGTAAGTTATTAATACTTAGACAGCAAATATAAAGATAGCTTTTGCTGATGATCAGATTAATAAAAGAAAGTAGGTATCTAACCAATCATTTGAGAAGAAATTTAAAAGCTTTTAGCTTTAGTGCATCGAACAATAGAACAGGTGACAATAATAAAGATAATAATGGTATATCCTAGGGTAGGTGTACAATATATTTAAGTATCGTTGACTTTACGGTGAAAGTAAAGCAAATTGTTCTGTGAGGTGAGAGTGATATTTTATGGATGAGAAGCTTTGTATGATCGATCTTTAATACAAATGAATTTTTCAACTTAGGTATGTTTATGGATAAATCAAACAGAAATTAAATTATTTTGTATACATTTATTTAAGTTTTTGGCATTAAAATAGAAGATCGGAAATACTAAGAAAAGAAATCGGAAAGAAATTCTACATTCGCAAAAAAGTGTTTGTAAATTGTGAAAAAGGTTTTTATTTGGAGTAAATGAAAATCGTTTACTATGAATTAATCCTAGTTTTGGATATTGCCTAGAATACGTAATGTGAAAAGTAACTAATAATAAGTTCATAGTTTTGTAATAAATCGAGTAATAAATCTCATTTCAATGTTAATTTATTTTTAATTTAGTGTTACATTTCGCCTCTATATTATTAATCTACACATCATATTTTGAGATGTACATGTTTTAAAGTTATTAGAAATATGTTTTACAATTAGTTTAATTTAATAATAATGTTCAATGAAAATATATTATTTTAATATTAATTAATCAATCAATAGCTTATAAAAAGTGGATTCTTTTTTTTCACGTTTTTTCTTGACAAGTTTCAAAATTATGTTCTTTCTCAAATTAAATTATGTTCTTTCTCAAATTAAATTATTGAGCACATTTTCAGTCAATTGGGCATTTTGGTAATTTAACACATTTTTAATAATATTTAAACAAAAACTGATAGTTTCACTCATAAAATTTTAGTTGTACTCATTCTAATAAAGGAAAGTTCTATTCAATCGGGTGCGGACAAAAATTGATAGATTATCGAGTGAAATTAAGTCCAATTTGTTTTCCAAGTCCATAGTGTCGAGACGTATCAACAGAGAAGTACATACGATGCTCTCATCCAAACATTTAATTTTTACTAAAAAATAATTTTAATACTTTGTACTTTGTACTTATTATTTCCTTTAATACAAAGTAATTGTTTTTTCAGTGTAGTTGTCAAAATATAGTACTAGATACCTACAGATTGATTGGTGATAATGGGTATCAATAATTCGTTCTCGATTGAACAATGAAATTTCACTTGTTAGCAAATAATGGAGGCAACGATAATCTGGGTTATAAAATTCGTTGGCCCGTCACGCAGTCGAATTTCGACATTTTCCCGTTACACGACTGACTAACTGCTTCTATCTTGATGGCAGAATGGTAATGTCGCTACTAACCAATGCCAAGCTAGGAATGGATATCTAACTGACTAGAACAAGAGTTTAAAACGGTCAAAAGCATTTTTATGACAACGTAGGTATTCGAAAAAAAAAACAAATAGGTAACTATTATAAATGTCTTAAGACACGTTCGAGGACATATTGTCCCGTTTGAACTCGTTTAATTTGCAACTTTGTGCCAACTAAACATTTGTCAGAATAGATAGGTATCGAACCTACACTCATAGAAATTTTTTGTAAAATTACACACGCTTATTTTGACGACACATAGATTAAGGTTCAGATCAATCATCAACTGAAGTCGCAGGCCTTCCTGGTCGAGAATCATTTCAATTGACTGGCGACACTTTTAAATTGTGAAAACCATTCGTATATAACATTGCGTACGATTCAGAGCATCATCTCCGTAAGCAAAAGTTTAAATGTTTCCGTGAAAGTTTTCCCCAGCTTAACACAAAATTTTACGTTGCATCGTTGTTCCCGAAAATCGCACATTTCAAAAATCGTTGCTAAACGGGTTGCATTCAAATAACAATATCACGAAAACCAAATCAGATATCAACAATCCAATAGCAGGTGGTTACAGAGGAGGTTATGCATAACGCAATGCTGCCAACCGCATAGCACTAAATATCTCCATAATTCAAAAAGATCGGTTATTTTCTGAACAAACCTCGTAATTATCTGGCCAAAACTTGTAATAATTCATTACTCAAGTATTACTCAGAACTAATAATTCAATATTACTCCTCAACCTTGCAAACCAAATAACTCCTGCAGATGTGCTGAAGATGTGTTTAAAATTTTTTTCTGTTTCCAAGTGATTCTAAAACAGATTTTAATCATCGGATCGAATGTACTTACAGCAGGTGCAGCTAGATTGATGGATTTATACGATCTGGTTTAAAAGGTGAGAAAGGGAGAATCGGAACAGGAAATTATCGATCTACCTTTAAATTCGAGGGTGCATCAGAGGCGTGTGTGAAATAATTCGTTAATTTGTTGCGGTAGATACTCATAATAAAGTAAACCGGATATAAATCAGGATTCGCTAGTACCTACCTATATGAAATATACATTTGATAGTTAATAAAATAGATTTTGATTCGTACTAAGCAAGTAGATAAATATTTAAGGAGGGGGAAAACCTCTGATCAAAATTTGTCATTATAAAATTGTTTTGAATTACCACCTTACACTGTAAAACAATTTCATTAAAATTTCACTCAATCTTACTCAATAAGTATCAATTTCTGTCCATACCCGATTGAGTGAAATTTTCACTCTATTAGTATGACTACAACTGAGTGAAACATTGCATCAGAAATGAGTGAATTTTACTCAAATCCGAGTTACTGCTAACTATCAATATTTTTGTTTTGTCTCTATTCTGAGTATACAAAACCATTTAGAGTTGACTTTTTCTCTAATATGATTTAAATTTAACTATTATCGAGTCATTTTTTACTCAGACTTGGTTTTTAATTAACCAAATATTGAGTGCAAGAATAAATCACTCATAAATCATTAATTAGGATGTACAGTGTTGAAATGAACTCACTTCGCGGGACCTCCTCCTGTCCTGGCTCAGACCCGCCAGCTGAGCTGAGATCCGCCGCCGCCGCCGGCTAAGACCTGTACTCCTGGCGAGTGCCGATCACGCTTTTCTGGAGCATCTAACGGGCCCCTATCAAATGTGGTCGAGATTACAGAAGCAATATGTAAGTGGTGCCATCTTCACGGCGCCATTCAAATTACTCGAAATTAATATACATTTA